AGATGAAGAGATTGCTAAATCTAAAAGCTTTAAAATTTATACAAGTAATGATAGTTCGTTAAATGATCTTGATTGTGACTCTTTTCTCTAGAATGTTAAAAAGGTAAATAAAAATTTCATTATTAATCAATTGAGATTACTATCCATTAATTATTACTAATGATATTAATTAATTAATTATTAAACAAACATAGTAACAATAGTAAAGAAAAGATGCGATGAATGACTAATTTAATCTCTACTATAAATTTATTATCTTTTTATTATCTTTTTATTTTATTCTTATTTTGTTTCTTATAATAATATTTCTTATAATAAACTCTACAATTTTCTGGTTCTTGTTAAATGGTGATATTGCGAGGTATCAGTTTGATTAATTAACAATTATGGCTTAACTTTTGGGCTATAATTCGGTGCTTGCCAACTAAATAGTTTACGAATTTGCTTTGGTTCTCAATTACTGCACCTAAATGAATCTGTGAGCACACTTGATGGTACCAAATAACTGTAATTAAATAAATATGGCCCTTTTGCAATGCTATAAAGTTCCTTTTATTCACTTTGTTTCAGTTGTTTACATTTATTGGCCGATTGCAAACTCGCTTTGGTTTACTTGCAAAACAACTCAAGTAGCTTGTTTAACAACCTTACGTTACGATTGCAATAATAATATTACCAGTATTTCCGATTAACCCTTAGACGGAAGATACTTCATTAACACCCGCTATTTAACCAACGTTAGCCCTAACCTTGCTTACTTGCTTACTAAAACAAGTAAACGTGGCCTTTTACCAATGTCCCACAATTTTTATCTTTTACCAAGGCACTATTTACACTTGTTGTTTTTATCAAAGCGCTTTAAACAAAGAAAATTAAGACAATGTTTTAATTTTTAAGATTAAATTTTATTTAATAAAAATAATGATTCTATCACAGAGTTTTATTTTATTAGAATGTTAATTATCTATTATTTTCCTCTGAAGAGACTAACATAATAATTATTGTAAATCATTAGGATTCAAACATTTAGAATCAATTGAACTAAAGTTCTTCAATTGCTTGTTCTATACTGTATATATAATGTTAGGTTGTATGGTGATTGTTAAATAAACAGTTTAAAGAGGTTTGTAAAGAGATCAAATTAGCCAAACTTTTAAGTGACAAAAGAAAAGTAAAAGTAAATAAGAAGGAACTTTAGAAAAGCTTTTACCACTTTATAAAAGGGCCATATTTATTTATTGTGCCATAAAGTGTGCTTATAGATTCGCCGAAGCTTCTAGATACAAAAAGATGAGTAAGCAGAAAATTATCATTATAAAATAACTTAATTGGCGGGTATAGAATATAAAGGCTTGCAATTAATCGACAAGTGTTAATTTGAACACGTAAAACAATTGATATTAATCAAAAAGCCACCTTCCAATTAGTGTTAGTCGCCAAAACAATTTTGTAGAGGCGAAAGTCAAAACTAAATCAAAATTCAATAGTCAAAAATCAAAACTAGTTTCAACTTATAGCGAAATCTTTTGACTTTCGCACGGTTGTGAAACACTAGTTTTCGAAACCAGCACTACTTCCAATACAATTGAACACTATTGCGTTGTTTGTAAGAAAGTATTTATTTCACGAAATTTAATTGCAAAGCTCAAATTGCATTTTCAAAAAAATTTTTTTTTTTGTTAAGACCAAGTATCGAAAGAAAGAATTTGACATTTTTAAAGTTTTTTTTTATTTTTCTATCGCCATAAAGGACACAACGCAATACTTGTTTGCTATTTTATCTGAGTAATAAGAGAGGTTTG